CTCTTGCTGTGGGCTGAGGAAGCGCTTGCTCTGGAACGTTTCCCCCCACCCCCGATAACCTTGATCCTCCATACCAGTATCTTCCTCACTCAAGCCTTCCATTCGATAAAGAAAAGCATTGAGATCTCCCCTCCCTCCCAAATTTTATTGGGCCTCATGCAATAAATTATATTCCAAGGGTCAAGCTGCTCTCCTCACCAGATGCCCCTTTTAAACATTACCCTGAGGATTGTTTTAATGCCTGCATTTTTGTTTCTCTTGCTGATTGACTAGATTTGTTTCAAAGAAAATTACAGGTAGTCCTCAGTTTAAGAATTAGTTCCATTCCCAAGGTCTGTCCTTAAGTTGAATTTGTATGTAAGCCAAGAGTAGTAGTAATGTGTAATGAACTTTAATCATTGTGTATTTAGCACAAATCATTGTGTATTTAACTTGAATTTTCTACAATAAGCTCTGTTCTTAACTGTGGGTTGTCTGTAAACCGGGCATTTTTAATCCAGGGGCTACCTGTTTATAAAGCATTAGAACAATTATGATTTGTATTAAGAATTAAGTAGGTATCAATGTAATGCTGCCTGGCCTTTATTCTTGAATTTGTTACAAATCACAGAAAGATAACTCATAAACGTTCCTCTCCTTTCAGGAATGAAAAGTTGCAATTAGTGGGTGAAGCCTTTCTACGAGGGACCCTCCCTTTAGTATGTGTGTGTGTGTGCATGTGTGCACGTGCGTGCACATGTGTGGAGAGAGATTCAGAGTTTTTTTTAATTAAAAAAACCCCCTCCTTAAAGCCCTACTCCCCAGAAGGGGTAACTGCGCAACCATGCAATTCTCTGTAACGGAGGTTTTAATGAAATTTGTTTATCCAGGTATAAAAAAAGTTTATTCAGGGAAAAAAGAGACAGCAAAAATCACGGGGAGGGTTCCAAGACAAAAATCCAGTTGGTTATATGTTACCTGAATAAAATATTAGGCTTCAGGGTACATGTGGAATTCATTTCAGTGAGGATAAGCTAAGAGAATCCATATTAGCTTCCTGTTTAAATATTTTTTCAGCTAATGTAGATTGAAAGCAAATTTCATTTATGGGAATCAGAGATAAGTGAAAACCAATTTCTTAATAGACTTTCTTGTTTTGCCCAACTGCAGAGTACTTTTTGTTTCTAGTCAGCAAATCAGAAAATTACCTAGTGACTGAAACCAGCTTCTCAGTAATACTACACTTGAATTACAAAATAACAAAAGATAAAACTGCCCTAGTTAGGTTTTCTAACATGGAGTCAATTTACTAGGAACTAGACACTAGGAACACTATTGAGCTACATCAAAATATAGAGATGTGCTATAGGGGATATAAAAAATTAAGTTACTTTAGCAGCTTGGTGCATTTAGAGTTCAAAATACTCCAGTTTGTAAAAATAAGGGTAAATGGTAGGGTTTAGGAATAGGAAATCTACATTGCAATAGCCTCTAGCCCAGAACAACCCAAAGCTGCACAGATAAAACAATAGTTGTATTCATTCAGATACACACTAAAATGTGAGTTCTAAAAATATAGGATGCATCATATATGAATAAACTCATTGCCAGTTCTCTACAATGCAGGTACATAAGCAGAGTCTTTCAATATTTTGCTGTTGCAGCCAAAATTGGCAATGAGACATAAATAACAAGATACTGTACTGGTTTTAAAAATTCTTCATGTTAAATGTCTATCCTTAATAAATTTACAGGTGGACAGGGTGCCCTCTGGTGTTGCTTAAAGGTTGCATTAAATGGAAATTGAGAAACTTTAGACATCCTGGAAAAAATCATTGGCTTTTCCATACCATTGCAGAGCGCATGGCATCTCCAGGAGCCAAGCTCAACTCAGAGATGTTACTTTTGTACTATATCTGAATTGTGGAGAGCCAGTATGTTACAGTGGTTGTAGTGTTGGACTAGAAGCAGGGAAACCCATGTTCTAGTCACATGGAAGCCAGTTAGGTGACCTTAAGCCAGTCATTCCCTCACACCCTAATCAGTGTCAGATTCCCTAACAAGCCAGCTGAAAAATAACTCATTGCATCATGCATTGATAGCTTTGCTATGAGAATTGAAGCAAACACAATGCAAAGCATGTGAATCTTGCAACCAGGTGGGATGAATGCTAGGGACAGCAACAACTTACTATGAATTGTAAACTTTCTTCCATCAAGTACATGTTATCTAGGCAAATCACAGAAGAGTAAAAAACATTAAGAAAACAGTTGGATCAACCAAATGCCTATTTAGTTCACCATGCTTATTCCTCCAGTGGCCAGTCAGGGCTTCCAGGTGCAATTTAAGGTGCTGGTTTTCATCTATAAAGTCCTACATAGAATAAAGTCTGGATTTATGGGACTGCCTGTCTCCCACTGTGTCTCCCTGTCCAGGGAGATCCAATAGAATTGGCATGGTTTGAGCCCTATTAAGCAGGGTCATCTTGTAGGGCCAAGGAAGTCTGCACAGCCCTGAATCTGCCTTAAAGAGCTGGCTCTTTCCACAAGTACTAGACTAGGATTTAGAGAGTTCTCTAAATTCTTATGGTTTCTTACCCTCAGTATGGCTGTTTTATTCCCCTTTTAATGGTTATATTGTTTTTAATCTTTATTGGGTGCCCAGAGTCATGTACAAGTAGGAGGCTATAAAAATTGCAATCAAATTCCATTTTCCCTCCCACACAGCAACCATCATTGGACCTTCATTGCATCAGTGGGCTGTCACCTAGCAGTACTGTTCAATGCAATCTGCACCTACTGGGGCAAGATGGGTGAGAGGAGTTCCCAACATACAAACTGCTGTGTTAGGTTTGCAAAACATTTCACAGATAAATTAACTCATATTTGCTCAGATCTTATCTCTTAGCAGAATCAAATGAACTTACTTGGATAATTTCTTGCAAGGCTACCTGGAATTTTTCAGATCTTGTGGACTCTGAGAAAGTGGATAGGGTAATTAGCAGCATGGGTTCTGCCACCTTTGGACTGGATTCATACCCTATGCTGGCTCCTTAGGGCAAAGATTGGGTGAATGGTGGGATCTGAGTTATCAATGCCTTTCTTCAGCCGTATCTTTTTACGGAAGGTATTGGAGAAGATGGTGGGGCTGCAGTTCCAATGGGCCCTGGAGAAATCAGATTCTCTTGATCGTTTGCAGTCAGAAGTCAGACCCAGGTATGGGACAGTAACTATATCGGTCTTGTGATGACCTCTATCAAGACCTGGAGAGTGTGTTACCTTCTGGTCCTATTAGATCTCTCAGCGGCATGTGATACCAACAACCATGGTGTCAGACTAGAATACATGTGAGGGTTAAGAGTTGGAAGTGCTGTTTTGCAATAGTAATGGAGAGCGATTTAGCCCTCGGCCACTGATTTATGGGGTGGCTCAGAGTTCTGCTCTCATCCTTTCCCCCATCTTATTCATCAACTATATGAAACCACTGAGGGGGTCATCCACTGATTTGATATATGGAATGACTGATATACAGGATGTGTCCTTACCCAATGTCTAGCAACAGTAAGAGATTAGATGGGACAAAACAAATATCTCCTGGGTTCATAGCAAATGGAGTCCAGGCCTAGGGGAGCCTTTTCCCAGCTTTGGCTGGTTCATTTTGGAATGACAATCACTCATACCCTCATTACTTTATGACTGCATTTCTGCATTACACTCTTCTTAGGTGTGATTTTGAACAGAAACTGGTAAAGAATGCAGTAGACCATATGTAGGCAGGTGAGAGCTGCTTCAACAGTGTAACACTAGTATTACAGATATTGCCAATAGGTTCCTGGGTTCAAATCAAGGATGTTGATAATGATCTAGACAGCCATATATGGCTTGGGTTTAGGTTACATAATGGACTGTCTCCCCCAAATAGAATTTGCCTCTGCTGTCCAAGCAATCCAAGAAAATGCTTTTGGGTCCCCTCTTTAAAAAGTTAGGGGATAGAAGCTTGGAGACAGGCATTCTTGGTAGCTATCTCATTCCTGTGGAATTATCTCCCTGCAGAGATCCAGATGTCCCCAACCTTGTTAATGTTTTAAAACCCCAGAAAGTTCTTTCAATGAGTATTTGGAGAGTGAATAATAACTATGTTTTAATTACTGATAAACAATAATTTTAATTTATTTAAAATTATTTAAATAAATTACTACTTTAAACAGTAATGGTACTGTTACTGTTTTAGATGTTTTTGTGGTATACAAGCCACCTACAGTTATTTCAAAGAGGGTATAATATAAATACATGCAAAAATGAAGACAAACTACCGGTCACTAGACATTTGTCTTATTAAGTGTTTTGGGAAAAGAAAAAACTATCCAGTAGTAGTAGTTCTCAACAGTGTCATTCTAATCCTATGCTTTCAAACTTGTTTCTAGTTCACTAAAACAATTCAACATCAAATTCAGAAGCAATACATTTTATTGGATTTTCTTACAAAATGAAACTTCACACATTGTGAGGTCATATACCACAACCAGTCTTTTAGTCACTCTATTAGATATATCATTACACTCAACTGAAATTGATAGCCTACTGAGAATTTCATAGTGTGGACTCTGATACATGCCTCTCTGTAAAAAAGGCTAGAATACAGATCAGTGATAATAATACCAAAAAAGAAAACAAAAACCAAGCAGCAGTGGGAGGTAAGCTAATTTCATAATGTTCATTTAAAAGCTGTACCATGCCAGAGTTTTTAAATGAAATGTCTAGCACTTCATTCAATAAACTGACATTAGAGTGTTACTAACTTTAAAAGGAAAACACTTTACAAAAGAAAAATCATTTTAAAAGTCTTACTGAATGCCTTTAGAATGCACACTACTCAGAAAGAGGTATTTTGCTGTTTGCAAATATTCTCAGTACTAAAAATATCTATATACACGGGTCTGCTTCTTTTTAAAGAGCTTCTTTGCTAGTATTTGGCTTCAATTGGAAAAATGACCAAGGACAACTGATGGTAAAGTTGCATTCTGCATGCAATTTGGATATTCACAGTAGGCCGAAATTTCATCACATCCTCTCACTTTAATGAATGGTTATGCCTTCGTCCTAGTTTGGTTAGGTTCTCTTCAACATCAATATGGCTTTTTGTTGATAAACTGTCACCAGTTATTTATTTTGCCCTTTTTAAAGGAGCTATCAATTATCTTCATAGTGGGACAATTTCAACTCCTCATGCATCAAGATGTTCTTTCATGCCTCATCCTGAGCTTGTATTTGGTGCTTTAAGGAGCAGGATGACTAAATAAGCTGACAGACTTATTGGTCCTCATTTAACAGCTTTTTTACTAAAAAGTAGAGTTCAAGAAATCAAGAAGTTCTGCACGGTTTCGATCCCTCTGCGAAAAAAAAATCAGTAATTAAAACCAAAACTTTAAGTGATCAAAAATCAATTTTGCAGATCATTTTCAAAAACTAACCCCAATAAATTGTACTCCAATTACTATTTTCAAATTACTTATTCTGCTGTCTAGTCATTCATACCTGTGATGGTACATAAATGGGTTTTAACTGCTTCATGTGAGAAAAATTAAGCTAAGAGATTTCTATAGATACCATGACTTTGCATCTATGGTGGAAAGGACAAATTATGGTATTAGTATTCCTAAAAATGTATGCACTTACATAATGCTACAAATTAAAAGATGGAAATGATATGCAGCCAATCTATGTTTAATAAATAAAAACTGGGACATTTATTTTATCTCATTCCCTAAAAAGGAGTGGGGAACTGAATTTGCCCTAAGGACTAGCTTCTCTCATTCCTATTTGTTTGTTTGTTTGTTTGTTTGTTTGTCATATTTATATAGCTGCCCTTCTTACACAAGGTGACTCCGGGCAGCATACAACAATTAAAAAATAAATGCATAAAAACAATTACACATAAAAAACTGTAAAAAC